TACCACAAACAATTGCCCCCCCCCCCCCACAATAGCAAAGAAAGACAAACCTGACTGACATTTATTTTATTGCCTACTCTCCTAAGGTTATGTTTAACAAATTCGTGGTAAAGTCCTATTTCCACAACAAGTACGGGAACCCACAAATTTCAGTACTTTGTTCAGTTATATATTTACTAACCATAAGAAAATAAAATAATGGTAACAACCAATTACACTAAGATGGTTAATTCAGTCATACTTCAGCACTTGGAATAATCACAGTATGAATACCAAACAAGCAGGGCATCCTGTCTGGTTAATCAAGAAGATGCCTACTATTGTTGAAAAGTTGACCAAGAAGTATCATTAATGTGATGCATATATTGGTCTTCTTTCCTGTTCATTATTTTGCCAAAGTTGTATGACTTGGATCTCTGCCATTTTAGCTGAGACACCATCTCTGCTTATGAAATGTTTTACAAACTCCAATTGTGCTCAATAGTCTGAAGCTATTCAAGGCCATAATGATTCTCTAATGCTCTCACTGGTACTACAGTTTAACTAGCTCTGTTTCTCATGACATCTTGACTTCAACTGGTTGTCTGTTTAGTGAAATAGTTTGGAGATTGGAGTATAATGTTTTTTACCCACTGCTTCCAACTGTCCACCTTATGAGCTTTTTAAACTTATACTTTTTATTTCCTTGATTTTAGACATTTTATATTGTCCCCATTAATTCTAAAGTTAGTTGGTTTGTTTATATTAATATTTTTATCTCATATAAGGAAAAAGAATGAATTAAGGATAATGTATTTATTGTTTTTAAGTTTTAGTACATCACCTATACAAGTTTTAACTTTAGAATTCTTATGACAGGGATTACATTCTGGCATTTAAGATGGGTACAGAAGCTTGTTTGTGAAAAACTAAACAAGAGACACTAAAGGAGTCTTAGTGGTTTTGTTTGTTTGTTATAAACACAAAGTTACACAATGGGCTATCTGCTGTACCCACCACAGGTATCGAAACCAAGTTTTTAGCATTACAAGCCTTCAGACTTATTGCTGAGCTACTAGGGGGCTCTTAATGGTTAGCCCCCAAAATTGGTTCTGTATTAAATTACATTCATCGTGCTTGTGTTTCTAGCCATATCAGAATGCCTGAGATGAGTGCAATACTTGTGTGTTGTACTCTTCCTGCTAAAGGTTTTCAATATTGATACTATTATATGCTTTCTTATGTTGCTGAAATACACAAATAAAGTACATGTAACCAATTGGTTGGTAAATTTTGATATTTACTCAGAATATGTTGCTTAAAAGTGAGTTCAGAAGCTAACATTTTCAAACTCTGAAAATGTATTTCTGATAGATACTTACCTCAATATGCACCAATTTCTAGTGCAGCTGACTCTATTCTGGAAATCACACTCATGACTACGAGATAAGGCAAAAAAGGTGCACTGGAAGTGGGTAGGATGGGTGGGAAATGTGAAATGCATTTTCAGTGATGGAAAATGTTAACTTCCAATATGATACTTTACCTCCTCTTTTATTAAAATGGTGGAGGGACCAGTGCAAAAGTTACCTAATGAGCACTTTTCAGAGGGCATTCAAAGAGAACCCATGGAGTGGTATTATTTATAGATACAAACTTCTGAAGTTCAGATGTAAATAAAAAAACTGTCCTTAAGCAAAACAATTTCTCTCTTAAGAGTTATGAATTTCTGAAATGGTTTGCATTATTAAATTAATTACCTTGAAATATATGTTAAATAGGAATATGGATAAACAATGCTACACTTAGTTTTGACTGGTTCATTAGTATTCCAAAATATTTCAAAACTATAAAATTACCTGGAAGCTAACACATGGCATTTCTAGCAAAATCATACCCAACTTACCACTACAGATATCTTCACACAATATAAAAACAACAAAAAACATTGATGCTTACAATAAATAACACAAAAACAGAATTCAGTCAAAAAAAGGTCAAATCTTTAATATATTAGTTACATCAAAGTGTCACTTCAGTCATGATACTCTAAGTATGCACATAAGTTTTATTATAAAATATAATTTATCATTTTAAAACAAAACAATGACATTTTTTTCAACAAGTTGAATTATACAGATTGTTTTTCCTATGAAAATTATATATATATATATTTAATATATGACATTTCTTTGTTTCAGTACATATCCTAAGCAAAAACAAATTTGAAAATTTTACTTATGCTGATTTTGTACATATCATTTGATGTAATGAAGATATACACACTTTTCTCATCATATACAGTTTCTATCTAGTGAGTAAATACATGTGTATACTCAAATTATCAAGTATATTCCAGCAATTCCAAAAGTTGATTTGTATTTCCAATATGTAATTCCCTCCTCTCACAAAATTAGCTATTCTTGTTCATTGCTGTCCTCTATATATGAACCTTTTTATTATGCATGCCACAAGCCTTCTGCACCCCCCCTATTGGAAATATATGATTCCATGTCTCTCATGCAAATAATCATGTGTCACTTCTCCACAAATAAGAGAATAGTACACTCACATAACACATGTGACTCCCTCTTTGCACCTCTGTCAAACTATCACTTCAAAGTTTGGCAAAGAATGGAAGCACAGGAAGTCAGTGGGGATGAAGGGTGGGAAGTGTAAAGGGAAGGAACTACCTATAGAAAATACATTTTCCGTATAGGAAAATTATACTGTCTGATATGGTACTTTCGCAGCTCACCAGATTAGCTAAAATCCTACACTGATTAGGAGGAGGGACTAGTGTGAGGGAAAAACATATATATCCCCTGAAAGCATCCAAAGGATACTTCTCTAGATGAGATAGTCATATCTGATAAGGGGAATGACACCATTTCTGATCCAGGTATACTCTTTCCCCTTATATGGAATGTGTAAAGAATTATGGTGGAAAATGAAAGCAACCCATCTATGTGAGAGAGAATGTGGTAGGAAAATGATCCTAACTGGAGAAAGATATAGTAACTCAATCCTACAATAAGAAAAGTGGGTAAATGAGGATGCGTCCCATGGTGTAGAGTGGCTAAGGCACGGCTGACCATGCTTGGTAAGACAACTACAACCAAATCTTCCTCACGGGATACCGACATCAGTGTGGGGATCATACTGTCATCACCTCAAACCCAAGAACCGGAGAATTCAGAAACACTCAGATTCCTGGGTAGTACATAGGATTAGCTTTCAGCTATAGATCTAGGAATAGATCTACATCCGGTATCAAAAGAAAGTCTTATCATGTGCAATCAACTCCTGCGACCTTGAAACAGGTCAGGACCATCTAAAGGGCAATAACATCCATGTATTAAGAGAGAACAAGGCAGAGCCAAGGATAGAACCAGAATAATCCCACGTATCTCTGCTGTGACCCACAACATAGAAGGAGGATATTACGAGAGGAAGACAGACAACCCTAAACCTGTGCAAGAAGGTATGTTGATTGGTAAACTCAAAATTCAGAACCAACCCGTGGGGTACCAACATCCACACAAGGGTAGGACGAGGGCTCCCAATGAAAGGAGTGAACTGCAGTTTTTACATCTCACTCCATCGTATGGTTAATCAAAAATTGGAGGATATTACATCATCTACGCTGGCAGAACACCACCGCCCTACTCTAAACTGAATGGTTATAGCCATCTATGTCAGGGGTGGCCAACCGCTGGCACGCCACTAATTCTTTCTGGCACGCGAAACCATCTCCTGTAATCCTCCATTTAACGACTTTTTCTCAATAGCAGCTTTTTTTATTTCTCATTTAAATACAGTGTAGAGGTGCATCTCAGATAAATAAATAATTTTACATTACAAATTACCTTAAACGATTTCTTCCCAGACCCGATCAGTGTTTTGGTTTCAGCCTCCGCAACTGGTTTTCGTTGACAAGACAACCGCCTTACCATAACTAGATGACGTCAGACAGTGCTCCTGATTGGCTGTTTAGCATCACCGGCTTTTTTTAAACATCATCGAGTCAACTGTTGAGCAGTTCTTCACAAGATTTGC